AATTCACTAAAAAGAAATTCAAATTTAGACAGTTGTCCTGTGAATAGTAGCGTTTTACTTAAAAATCGTAACTTCTTTACTTTCTATTATTTCGATCTGCAACTGTAAGATGACGAAGGTGAAATACAGTTATAACAGAAAAAATATGACTCTAATCCAGGTTGGAGAAATATATTTTCTTCGGGGCGCTGTAAAGAAGATATTTTCGTACGTCGAAAATACGTGTCTATATAGGAAAAAAAACCTTTTTGTCGCGAAGGTATCGAATATAGTTTTTATCTTCCTCGAAATAAACAACGCCCGTTGTCTAAGGAAATAATTACACGCCGCATATCTAACTCTAATACACTATTATTTATTACTTTCAAGAGAAAAAAGTATACGTAATCACAATGTTTGCTAACATTCGCGCACAAATTTTTCTAAAAAAAAGGTCACTTCATTAATAACGTCAAATTATATACCGACCGCACCCTATAGATCTAATTGATCCTGCGTCAAATTCGGATGGCTCCCAAACACGCATTGATTGGCTTATCAGACGTCTAATGGACAGAGCCGAGGCTCTCTAATGATTTCCCGGGAGTGGGGGGAACTCAGATCACGCGCTTCTCTCGGTTACACAGCCCCTCAAACGCAACACTCACCGTCTACCCGACCCATAATGTGGTCGAAGGGTAAAAGAAACGCTTCCCCTGAAATTACGGATCCGACGGAATTCTTCGTTCGGCGCGAACCATTAGAATAACGGCCTCTCCCTGCAAAAATCATCTCCTCGCTCGTCGTCCCGCGGCCGTATTCGCGAATCGCGATCGAAAAGCGGATTATTCCCGTGGACAAAGAACAACCCCCTTTTTCCCCCCTCGTAGCCGACATCGCCGAGGCTTTCTTTCGCGACGGTGAACTTCAGCCAACTTTCTTCTCCCGCAGCATGCTCGTGTATTACCGTTTGCGGCCGACTACGGTTACTATCGCGAGGACGAGTTTCACGGTGCTACGTTCGCAAAACGTCGCGCCGTGCAGCCGAGCGCGATGATACCGCGGACGCGAACTTCGTTCCGACGTTAATTAATTAACGCGGATACGCGGCCGCCCCTGCCTTTATTTAACACACGCGAATCATTCGCATACATTGCGATTTTATCGAACATAACGAATCGCGGAGGAGACCGGCCTTTATAGACGAGCTCCGCTTGTCATTTTCGCGCTCGTTCGCGACTTTTAACCGCGTCTGTTTTTACTATCGACGTGCAACCTCTGCCAGACGGTCGTCAAAGACGCCGGATTGGCAGCGCGGCCTAATTTGCATGTTTTTCTTTCGACAGGATGGCCGTCGCGGCGCCTCCGACCGTCCCGCGAACGAAACGCCAACGAAAATAACCGCGCTCGCGCGCGATAGCACCGTGCCTAAACTTTACGCCGTAATTCACGACGCCCTCGCCCCCCCCCTTCCGCCCTTTCGCATCCAACAACTTGCCTCCTTCTCCTTCTTGTTTTATTCGCGGCGATGGTTTTCTGCTGCACTTTTCCGGGACAATTGCATACCGTTTATCGTAGTGAAGATTGTGGAAAGAAGAAAAACGGAAAAATTGAGAGAAGTCGCGGGGACGATGTAAAATATCGACATCGGCGTCGTAGCGCGTCTATAAATACCCACCTCTGTCCCATTGTTATGCGAGACAACGGACGTTTGTTACGTTAGTACGCATAACACGCGCACGTGGCGGAGACGACTGTCGCCGTTCAGGAACGCGCGTAAGTTTCTCCACAATTCGGGACTTACGAGCGGCTTCGTTCGAGATAACTCGAACGTACACTTTGTATCTATGTAGCTGACGACATCCTAAAGATCACGAGGCTACCGGGAAATTCGCGCGGAATAAAGTCGCGTGAAAGAACAAGATTTGTACTATTATTTCTTTTGTTAATTCGCGGTTATTTTATCTTATTACGTTATCAACGCTTTTAGCTCGATACATATATTTATTAGATACTATTAATTTCGTTTCCCCATGCTTCTCCATTTTTTTTATTTCTGTTACGATGGAGATCTGTTTTAAGGAGAAGGTGATAATATTTTTATTATTATTGGATAATTGTTTCTCATCCAGGCGCCTTGAGTTTGATTCCCGGAAATAGAATTTTATATATATATATATATATATATATATACATAATTTTGTAGATCTGTTAAATATAATTTGTCTATTCTGCTAAACGGAAATAATATCTCTCTAGTGCAGAATCTTAGAGCGCAGTTGCTGGTGTTTCAAGGTCCGGTATGGTCTAGTGGCTAGGATACCTGGCTCTCACCCAGGAGGCTCGGGTTCGATTCCCGGTACCGGAAATTATTTTTTTTATGAGTTACAAAAAATATATAGGCCGATCTTATGTTTCTTCAATATACCAAAAACGTAAATAAATTTGCGATCGTGATCGATCGAACAAGCGCGAAAAAGGATCAATGAGACTTTTGTCAGTCACGGCTGTTCCGCTTCATATCGTAGTTAGATCGGATATGTGGCCTTCTGATAAAATTCTTTGTACTTACGGCAATGAATTTGCCATGTCTTAATATAAGCAAATACTACAGGAAATAAAATTCATATTAATTAAATATTGTCTTTAAATAATATAGAAGCCATTCAACAATTATGTGACACCATAAAGGAGGGGAGAGATTTACGCAACAATATGTGACGACAGAGAAGGGGGAATAAAGGCCATGGAACGTCACATTCGATGGCATAATTTATAAATGCGGATACGCATGGTTATTTTATTTGCATTCGTGATACATTTGATTACAATTGGTGAAAATGTTCAAGTTCTGACACGGTTTTGTGTTAATTATCGATATGTTAATTTTTCAACATTTATTTCAGAAGCACCACTGTTACCAATCAAAATTATAAAATAAAGCAATCGATTTGTTATTATATGTTTAAAAGTCATTTGTATTTTAGAGAAAAGTATCAATGTGCAGTATAACAATTATTACTCAACAATACAGTTTTAAACTATATTTTTATATGTACCGAGGGCGAGGAAATAACTCCACATGTCACGTAATACTGGAAGGGATCAGAAGTACTTTGCGGCGAAGAGAAGGGGGGAATATTCAAATTTACCTTGTCATAATTATTGAATAGCCCTATAAGCGTTTAACATGAAACTCGGATTTTACATTTCAACAACTACGTGGGCTGGGAGACCGTGGAGGAGTAATTAACGCGGAGCTATGGGTAGCCTGACGCGTGCTAGCCTTCGCCGAGCCGTTTTCATTGAGCGTGAAAAATTAGCGCCTTTGACGGGTCCCATTCAAGAACGGCTCGTTATCTAAAATTAGATCCATGCGCGACAATAGTCCGCTCCGGGTGCGCGCAATTCGACGCGGCGGTTCCGGAAAGCGGTGAAATCGAGCGTTCTTGGTTAACGCGATTCGTATCGCGCAAATGGAAATTCCTCACGGCGCGTCTTACCAAGGCCGGCGAACGCGGGGACGACACGAGTCGTTGGGAGGCCAACCGGGCCGGGTTTATTCGCGGTTTGCACATGGCCGTGCGAAGATAAATGTCATTCGCCGTAAACCCATCACGTTTTACAACCGTGTGTGCGCGGTAAAATCGCAAACGTTTACGCCCGATTTGCGCTTTATCGCGGGATTCGGGCGGGAAAAGCTCGACGGATCGGCGGCGCGATGCGCGCGGCCGTCATCATTGTGCCCCGTTTCCTGGCTCTCGGTGCTTTCCATTGTACCGAGACAAAACAACGACATCGTAACACGCCGGCTTCTCTGGATTTCCTGCCGACCGCACCAACGCTCGGTCGGAATTATCTCGGCCCGATGCTTTCGATAGCGTAATTGCGTCCTCCGAGCTTTTCAACGACCCGCAACGCTGTTCATCATTCGATCTATAGATCCGACTTCCTTCCGCGGCTTCCACGAGGCTCGACGGGAGCATGGCGTCGTCTCTTTAATCGCGCTCTTTGTTGATCGCCTGTTACCTTCTCCCTGATCGTTAATGGAACTATCGATATCTCGTGCACAATAGCGCGCGTGTGAAGTCGATTCGGAGATAAAAGGAAGAAAAAGAGCGCGACCGGCGCATCATTTCCGACGCCGACGGCCGGCCCCCTTCGACGTCTGGTCTCCTTCGTCGACTCCGTAATAAGCGCAGTGTCGAGTACGGCGGGACCTCGACGTCGGGAGAGGAATGTGACCGGAGTATTGTATCCGAAGGCTGAAAGCCAAGATACGGCGGGGACTGGCGCCAGGCTTGCTCTCGAGCACGTACCCGCCGCCGGCCACTTTTCTCGGCTCCTCGAAATTAACGCCGTCCACTCAGCGCTGGCATTTAGCGTGGCGGCTCTCCCTCGTATCCTCCTTTATGATGATTTCATCCCCTTCCTCGAGAAGATATTTTTCTTCTCCCTCGAGCCGCCCCACCACTCCCTCGAGAAGGAAAGGCAGGGTAAGAAAATGCGAAAAATCCGTTCTCGGAGCGAGAGGAATTCCCGTCGAACCTGATAAACATCCGCGCGCAATCGGTTTCTTCTTCTTCTTCTTCTGCGCAGGCACTGCGGCTCGTAAAATTTTACGTCGGGTCTCCGTGTACGCGTAAACTGATTTTTTTATTCGAACTCCTCTTGTAATTATACTCCGCAGCTTCCTCGCTGACTCGGTTTTACGAGTTCCCGCGGCGGGACTCTCGAGTTCACCGCTGGGCTTAAGGCGTAATAAGTGCTTCCTTTCTAACGCACGATGCCGCGACTCGGCGAAACCGTTGCGCAATGTCGAACGTATTTCGCAACGCGACACGGCGCCGTTTTATTGTCGACAAAAGAATAGCCGGTGTCGCGTTCGATTGCCCCGTCGCTCCGTTCGAGGTTTGCCCCCGTACGGATAGCGAACGCGATATTTTCCGAGAATTGATCCCCTGCGATATATTGAGACGTTGTGTCAGCAATAAATGTGTTTGTCGCGAATGTTTTTACAGATGAGTCCACCTTGATCCGTCGAGCATGACTTCTACAATGGGACTGCAGCAGCAGGCTGCGTCCCAGGACACAGTGGACTTCGCCGGTTACCTTCAATCCGCACAGTGCCATCATGGAAATCAGGCGGAAGGGCAGGTGCAGAGCTGTCAGAAATCGCCACATCGTGAGCACAATAGCAGCTTCACCAGCACGAAGGGTCTGCTCAACGGGCCCGGGCAGAACAATTGTTTCCTCAACAGTGCCGTACAAGTGAGTGGTCCCAACGGGACAGCTTCTGTATCGATAGTCAAGGACCGTAATTACATAGAAAAAAATAGTGCCGGATTCAAGTACATAATTATTCCAATAATCCTTGGGGGTCATTCAACAATTCCATCTACGCTAAATTTGGATATTTCTTCCCTCCCTCCTTCCCTTAGAAAGTATTTGTCCCCTTCCAATATTAATCCTCCCTCCCCTCCGCCGATATATAGAATAAAAAAATTAGCCTACAACCATATTTATGGTACACTGAGAAAAAAGCGGTTGGATCTGCAAAATCGGCGGTCATCCTCGTTTAGAAAAAAGTGATGTTCACTGAACAAATTACGCGTTGGTGCAACAATTGCGTTGATATAGTTGCTGGCCAAATTGCAATCGTTGAATTAAATGACCAACTAATAGCAGTCACCGTCAGATAGGTTCCCCCTCCCTCGTGGTAATTGTTGAATGGCCCCTTAGCAAATTTTTACTCGGGTTAAATAAATTTTACTTGAATCGAATAAATATTTTACTTGGATCAAACAGATATATTACTCGATCCAAGTAAAAATTTGCTAAAGAATATCGGAGTAATTATTTATTTGAATCTAGCATTTTTATTCTACGCAGAATTTCGCCAACGTATTTTACCAAGTTGCATATTAGAAGAATGCACCCATATTTAAAAAAAATTGTGCGAAAATTATGCGATTTGTGCAGAAAATGCCAAAATTTTTACACGCAGCCGGTTGGAATGGGACCTCACGGCAAACGTATGCGCTTCATGAAAGTGAACGAACGCCTTCGGCGTATGCAACCCGGTGGTCGAGCGTGCTTTCCGTTCCTTTCACGGCGAGAAGGCGCGAGCGCATCGAACGAGACCTACGCAAAAGACGACGCAAACCAATAATACAGAAATAATTTATTCAATCGAGCGACGAGGTGGCGAAGTATTAATTGAAGCGTGTCAAATATAGGCATATAAAATATTCACTCACGGTAGCATCCGGTTGTCTCGCGTCACGAAGTTTTTACACCGGAGGACAGTAAAATAATCATACCTGATATTTCGGATTTAGGTGGTAACTCGTATCTAAGCGAGGTCAGAACGCGGTAAAAATGCGGCGACCGGTGATCCTTGACATTCGAGAGGCGTTACACGCGCTCTCGCTTGCTATTTCTCTCCGAAGGCTTTACGAGTCTCGTTGTCGAGTACGCCCGCGATTTATGAACACGGTCCATCGCCGAATCCTTCAGGTTTGCCTCTAAGGAGCCTTCGAGACGCGCGTAAATATTCATGCCCGGCGAAGTGACAGACCCTCCGCAGTCTCCTTCTTTCAATCGGATCGTCAGACCTCCTTTTAACTCTCTCACGAACGTCGATGCTGCCTCTCGGCAGCACTGTTAACTTCTTGCTGTTTAATGGCGATTTTCGTAACGTGTGCGTGTGTGTGTGTGTTTGTATTTGTGTAGTCACGCTTAGGGACACCGGTCACCGGTTCCAAAGTCGAGAGGAAGAAGTCACGTTTGTTCGCGTTAAGAGGCGCTAAAAAGTGGCCGAGAGCGCTGCGTTAAATACGGCTTGTTGCTCGAAAAAGTTTCACAGGACTCGCAGCACTCTTAAAAAAAAAAGGAAAAAAAATTAAACACTTATACGCTCGTGAATTCTAAGAGACCGAGATCGTTTTAATTCGATAAGACACTCGACTTTCTCTTTCCTACGCTCATCTACGACACTTGAAACTTCGATCGCTCTTTTTGGAGGGATGGATCATTTATTCTTGGAATAATTCGTCCATTTTCACGCGGCATTCAGGTGTACCTCACCTCGGAGAAGCGTAAATTCTGCTTGATATAGCAGGCGGTAACAGTAACGCTCTGTAAGTTGGCGGGATCTGAGATCGCTCGGCATGAGGCACGCGTTCTACCAATACCGTGCTTTACGTGACACGTGATACAAGCGTTTTAAGTGCAAACCGTGCACGCAGCACGCAGGGTGTGGTTAACTGCTTTGTCTCGTGTTACGAATAGAAAATAAACGCCGTGACGGCGCGTCGGCTCTCTTCGTGACCGTGGCACAGGCTCTACGATCGAGATACCGTCTGCATTAGCGATGATCGTTCACCCTTTGAGCGCTGCGTTGTCCGACGTTAAGCGTGCGCCGTGGACTGCCCACTCTTTACGAAGAAGCACACCGTGGGCTGCGTATTTTTTACGAAAGAGCGCAAGTTGAGCAGACTGAATTTTCATTGCAAAATATATTGATTGTAACTAAAATAAATTATGTAGTGACCTCAAAAACGTTCATAACCTAAATTGAATGGTTGTGTGAGAAGGCATATATTCATAGCGCTCAAAGGGTTAATCGTACGCGATCGCGACGTATGAAAAATTCTCGCCCTCCGTCACGTGACTGACGTTGTCTCTGTCGATGCGGAGTCGCGCGCGCGCCGGAGTAATCGAGTGTTCCCGAGTCGCGGATTTTCATTTACGCGCCGCCGATGGACGGTTTAATCGGCTTGACGAAGTTCCGGAACGGATTAGCGCGGACGTCGAGGCCGACGTGGTTTCGTTCGGCTTTGTCCCCGGTTTACCGACGGTTTACGGAACCCGGTTCCTCCGCGGGTTGTCGCGATGCCTGTTGTGGCCGAGTGTTTTCGATCTCGTCCGAGCGTCTGCTAATCGTTAAATGCCTGTGTTATCGCGGCGCAGACGCGAGTGAAACGTTTTTTTCATACCTGCGGTGATAAAAACGCACGCGTATCTGCGTTCCCATCCTCCCCGGGCGAGCGTCACCGACGGGAATAAGTAGCGATAACAGCACGTGCACCGATAACGTCACCGGCGAGTAACGTCACTCCCGGCGGTTTCCTCCACGTCGGTCGTGCGGCGGCGGAGCGTCGATTAATTTTAAATCGCGCTCGTTAGCGAAGGGAGGAAGGGGCGTCGAGCGGTCCGATGATCGACAGGTGTGTTTCGGAACGTTCGTTCGGCGGCGGCGATCCAATTCCTTCGCGCGCGAGCGAACCCCGCGACGTGGAGTCAACGTTATTCCGGACGAAGTCCAATTTTAGATTCGGCCGTGGGTATTCCCTTTGCCGATGGTAATATCTCGGAGGCGTTTCCACGCGTCGGGGACGTCCGATGCTTTGCGCGCTCGTAAAAGCGCCTCGGGACGATTTCGCAACCACCGGGGAGCGAGGAAGCGCTTCATCGTCGAGCGATCACGATCGGCTCGTTCGGCGGAACGAGCGTAGAGCATCGGCGATCAGCGGCAACAAATCGCCGGTTACGAGTGCGCCGTATTCCAGGAGCCTTCGAAATAGGGTTCAGGGTACTTCCCGGGGTATATCGCGGACACCCAGGTTCAAGGTTGCGCCACCAACAGTGGGATCTCGCGTGTCCTTTGTTCCGAGACGATGATCGAAGATCTCGTCTCCCGCGGACCGTCTCGGCCGCTCGCGATCTTACGTTCTGCAGTGACGCGTAAACTTCCTGGCGAAGATGATCGGGTTTTCTCTCCTCGCGCGAGATCCGTTCGCGGCCCAGTTTTCAGGTTTCTATTCTTTTTACGCCCCCTTTTTTTCTCCCACCCTCAGGCGCGCGCAGTTTATTAAGCGAAGGAATACGACGAGTGCGCGCCGAGTGTGGGTAATTTTGAAAAGATCGCCCGTTTTCAATATTTCCCGAGCTGAGCTGAGAGCACGTTGATGCATCCCCCTTTTACTTACTTTCGTCTCAATATGGAAAGGAGCGCGTTCACTCGTGCTGTTTCAAAATGCAAAATGTGAGTGTTTGTGAGCGTTAACGTCAAAACCGCGGCGGTTTTTTTCCTTCCTAGAACCGCGAATGAGTCAGTTGTAACTCACCTTATTTTTTTTTTTGTAACTGTCCGTTGAGTTTTTTCAACTTTATGATATTATTTATTTGCTTTACGATAACGAAAGCTTCCCGGTGAGAAAAGTCAGGCGACAAAAGTACGAAGAAATCCGAAGAAAGCGACCCAGCCACGGTTCCGGTGTTAAACGAGTATTTTGTACTCGTTTATGTGAATATACGGTTACACGTCTTAAATTTACGTATATTTTTATTATTAAAACGTATTCAATAGTACGTTTATGCCGCTCAGATATATATATACTCGTGTGCAGTTCGCTATAATTACTCGTTTTTACAGAAAATGGCCCTCCACCGGTCTGAAAACGGGATTGTGCTCGTTCAACCGAATATACACTTTGCGCTGCTCAAACTGACCGTTTTTTGCGCGCTAAAAATTGTTCGAGACATTTTTGTAAGGAGCTGCAAAAAATGTGGACGATGAAATCTCGCATTTGCGCGGCGGATCTGCGAACAAATCAGAGTTCATTCCACTTTAGACACTTCAGATAGATACGTTGTTCCACATTCTCATAGCGCGTAACGTCGAAGTCATGAGCGAGCGAAATAATAACGATGATGATGACGGCTTGATCGCTTGGGAAAATTGCGAGGGAATTCCCTTTTTTTTTTACTGTTAATCCAGTCGCGGCTATTATTTTGCCGTTGCGAGCGCACGGAGGGAGGGAGAAAAGCGGCATGGGAGTAGTTCTATACTTGTTTATCTGGATTGCCGCGCTTAACGGTGCCGCGATGTCCGAGCAGCGCTACTTTGTCACCGGTAGCTGTTGTTGCATACTGATTGCGTTCGTTAGCGGCCATCGTATAGTCGCCAAGAACTCGTGAAACCTGCTGGAGGCTCGTCCTTTTTTTCACTCGTCCGAGAGTTAATTAAGTTCCTGCCTTCGAAAAATGTATCGTCAGGCAGAGATCTATACATGCGATAAATAAATAAATAAATAAATAAATAAATTAATTAATTAATAACATGCGAGTTCATTGATTCGTCTCGGTGGATAAAACCGGGGGATCACGTGTGTACAGTGCGGTAATAACAGCACGCGTAACCCGCTATTATTTTCGCAACAACATCTGTCACGAGAGACACAGCGGACTTGTCGATCCGTGCGGAA